CAATCGGACATCTCTTTCCGATCCACCTTCTTTACGCAAAGAACTCGTAATGATCAGGACTTCCTGTTGATGGGTGGTTGCTGACAGCGAATGATTCTTTCGCAATTGTGAGGGATATCTTATATTCACAGAGAATTTGAGTTTATAATCTTCTTTCCTGCGATATTATATTGAGTTTGGCGCATACTACCGGACTGTAAAACAAGAAATCCATTCAGGATTTTGGTAAGGAGAAACCTCTTGGAAGGAAATAATTTGAAAGATCATCAAGTAGATGGGAATATATTATTAAAATGTTGTAGAGTGGAAATATCTGAGTAATTTTCTGCAACAGATTTAGAAATGTGCAGCAAATTAAACAAAAATTATTTTAAATTATAGCTTCCACCCCCCCCCCCAAAAAAAAAAAAAATTCGTTGACTTTAAATGCTGTTGTATATTCCACTTTCTTCAACAGTTAGTAACTCTTCAATTTGCTTTAATAAGTTTCATACGATTCTAACTGTAAACAGCGATTATTTCCTTAAACAGCGTTAACCAGTTGAGCTTTGTAGTGGTGAAGTGTAGTGTTTTCTTCGCGGTACGGACTGAATAATTATTTAGGCGAGTTTCGGCTTCAGAGGGTTAATATTAAAAGCTGTGGTTTGTTAGTTTAGCAGTTTTTTCATTATTTTGAGCTATTATGGTCAGGGCGACAAGGATTACATGTGAACTCGACGATAATACGATTAAAGGACTATGGCGGATAGACAGACAACCCGTATGACTCCCCGTTTCGTCACGAGGTTTTGCAGTAAAGAAACAAAGCTCTTTCCACGCTGAGCGTTACTTTAACACAGGACTAGTGAGGATTCTCAACATTCTGACATCGAGTTAGATTGACAGCTCAAATATCCATGCCGAGTAATGAATGTCTGTAGTACAAGAAAGTTAATTCACGACCGCAAAGTGTTGATTTACATATTGTCCAGAGTTTTCGTAACCCTGATTAAAATACTGGGTTAAAGAGACTGAATCATCAGATTATAAAGAAAATAACTTTTGATTTGCGAGGTTATATCGATAAATGAATATATGATTGTCTTCTGGAAAGTTGTGCTTTCCAGTCTCTTAGAAGTTTGCCGACGTTTCAGAGGTACTTATTGCCTCCGTTATGAGGATGGTCATCGCCCTAAACTTTAACCTTAAAATCCACCAATGATCTACCTCGGATGGAGGTTGTGTTGTGACGAGAATAATTTCAACTACAATAATCAATCATTTTCTGAAAATTCTAATAATTTATTTTGAGTCTGCTTTAACATAAATCGAAACTAGTTCTGGTCTGTTTAGTAATTTATTACAAACGGTTTATTTATCAAAAGGGGTATCCAAAACGTGTCTTAAGGCTTTGACCGGGATGTTCTTTTGTTAAATCTTATGTGGTACCGCCTGATTCGACTTCTAATGGTTAAGTGAAGTGTTTTCTTCGCGGTACGGTCTGGATTCGTAAATATTATGAAGACGAGCTTCGGCTTCAAAGGGTTAACCAGCTGATTTTCGTAATGGTGAGGTGAAGTGTTTTCTTCGCGGTACGGTCTGGATTCGTAAATATTATGAAGACGAGCTTAGGCTTCAAAGGGTTAACCAGCTGATTTTCGTAATGGTGAGGTGAAGTGTTTTCTTCGCGGTACGGTCTGGATTCGTAAACATTATGAAGACGAGCTTCGGCTTCAAAGGGTTAAAAAGCAAGGAAATACACGAGGTAATATGCCCCCACCAAGTGAACAGAAATTAGCCAGTCCCTCCAAGGTCTTTCAGGCCATCAGGGGGCCCGAAGGGGGACCCGAAGGGATCTGCACTGGCAAGAATGAAGGAACGTGTCAGGATTTTTTGAGTTCGGATATATGACAGACGACAGCTAAAGCTGGCTGTCCGTTAATTTCGACTTTATGGCAAACTAAACATGTTCACAGAGATATAAACAATTTTCGTTTCACATAGAAAACTATTACATTGCTATGTTCAACTCCGTGTATGTAGCTTATACGCTAAGGGAGACTTAAAAAGGAGTTGAATGTTTCGGGGGTCATCGCATGGGTGGGAAAAGTCAAATAATCACCTACTTGTATTAATTCCAAACTTAAACTTAAGATATATAATTAATTTCCTCTATTTTCCTACACGTACGAACTAACGTGAATAAAATTTAAATATATTTCCACCGTATTAATTTAAAAAATAAAAGTTTTACCCGCGTAGATATTTGACATGAATTTGAAGCTTAAAATGTATTAAAATTGAGACATTTGGGGTCCAGCATCGTGTCTAATACGAGATCTGTGTCGGGCCTAATAGGACGTGTCGACATGCCTAACTTAAGAGCTCTTAACGCCTCTGATACCAGATTTATTCTAAGTCCGCTGTGTAACTTAGCAAATGGCACAGACATTACGTAAGCAGCTACCACACTGAACATAAAAAGACACGAAAACAAACCACAACTTGTTTTCAAAACATATTTCTCGCATTTATTTTGTGTTCTAAGGTGGTTGAGAGTGATACAGTGTTTTACGTTGTATTTAATAAACATGAATTTAATGCTCAGAAACAGAGCAAATGACGAAACACGTGATTACGGCCAATTGAACCAGACGCTCCGAAACACAGCCCACATCACGAACATAAAACAGCTATCGGACAGAGCAGAAAAGCTCTTCGAATTTTATTCCCGATACAAGTTGGCCACAAAACATTTAGTTAGAACAACATCAGCGTTCTACTGATCCATATCGTGGTTATTTCTTCCCTTTTTTTAATATGAGTAAAACTGTAACATTTCAATCAGTCACGAGAAGGTTATTAGACCTGAGTTAACTGAATCAATCCGTGGGATCGAACACTGACATTTTTACTACGACATATCTTCTAGCAAGGTTCATATATGTCATACTTAAATTTCTCTTGGCAATTCCGACATTTAAAAGTACGAGTTGCGATCGGAAAGTTTCTAGACTGCGCCTATAAAAACCCGTACACTTATCTCAGATATTAAATTCATCCATCACCCTCGAAGTAGTTCCCCTGGGAGTGAACACAACGATCCCAGCGCCGCTGCCAAGCCTGGAAGCATCCCTGGAAATCTTTCTTTGTCAGCCTGTCAAGCACCATCTGCGATTCTGCCTGAATCTCTTCTATCGTCTCAAATCTCCTTCCCTTTAGCTGAATTTTCATCTTTGGGAAGAGGAAGAAGTCACACGGAGCTAAATCCGGTGAATAAGGAGGGTGCGGGATGACGGCCATGGTGTTTGAGGCCAAAAACTGCCGAACTTTGAGGGCGGTGTGCGCTGGCGCGTTGTCTTGATGCGTCGCATGTGGAGTTCTTCCTTTAGAATCAGCTGACAGGTCCCAACAATGTCGCACAAGTCGTTGATGGTACGACGTCGATCTTCGTAACTTTTTCGGGCGTTGTGCTCGAAGATGGTCGTCCAGAACGCTCGTCATCATCGACAGAGGTTCGGCCGGCCCTTTTTAAAACGTGAATGCCACACAAAAGTTTGCGGACTCCCCAAATGTTTGCTTTAGCATTTCATAGGTTTCCTTAGCCGTTTTGGCGAGTCTTTGGCAAAATTTGATGCACACGCCATTCCGAAATCGCAGGAGGGTCGGTGTAATGCACTACCAAAACGCCCGTAACTAAGAAACAAATGCTAATTCGATGATGCCGGCTGGCACACTGATTCACTATGAATGTAGGCCGCACCCCCTAGCGGCAGAAGCTCGTACTACATCCGGTTCGCCCGCTATTGACACAGTCTTGAAACTTTCCGATCGCACCTCGTAGTGCTTTCACTCTAAATTCAGTTTGACACTTTCACCTCTGCTCAAAACAAATGACGTCACGGTGAACAGGGCAGTGTGCATATTAGGGGTGTCCAGTCAGTCGACCGCTTATGTCCTTTCGCAGAAGGCTTATTACGGTTTTCGCCAATTGTGTTCGATCCCACGGATTGATTCAGTCAAGTATGACATATACGAACCTTGCTAGAAGATATGTCGTCATCAAAATGTCAGTGTATTCTAGCCTCTTCTAACTTTAAACTGGCAAATTATAACATTGACTTATTACTTTGCTCCATGGGTAAAATGGCAGGATATAAGAGGAGTTGTGCGTGTGATTAACGTGTTGAGAGAGACAGTTTACTATACTTGAACCCTTAATTATTGTTTTAATTTTGTTTGAAATTATTACTGTTGAGTTATTCTGATTACCAGTTCTGCTCTACTCCCAGGGATTAATGATTTCAGGGTTAATTGGTTAGCCTAGAGACCATATTTTGTGGAAGCTAAAGACGTCCCATTTGTCTGCTTGTTGATTACAAAATGTGTAAGGCATTACGTAATAAACAGGCATGTATACAGAGTGTCCCATAAGTTCTGGGCCATAGGAAAATTCTGTTATTTGATGAAATATGAAAAAATGGTAAAGAGGGGAAATTTATTGCAAATCAGTTCTATTTTTTCCAGTGTTGGAATTTTTCCCTAAGACTAGCCTATATTATTAATGGTAAAATATCACAGAGATGTCGCCACGTTGACATGATACCGAAAGGGATGTGTTTCTGGAGCAGGGGAAAGTAGTGAGAATTAGACAGAGATCCTACAGGAAATTATTGAAACATGTCCCTTTTCGCTGTCATGTTAACGTGGCAACATCAAAGAAACGTTTTACGATTGACAATGTAAAGGGTGTAACTCCATAAAGGCTAGTCACGGGGATAGAAATTCGGACATCTGAGATTGAAAACACGTGATT